TTTTTTTGTTCTATAATATCTGTCGTTTAATGAAATCAAAGTATAATTAATATTTTTTCTTCCAAATTTACCTTTAATTTTTTAATGCATTAGATTAAGTGGAGGTTAAGTGTATTTCATATTCTTTTTCTTTCCAATACGTATTGAATAAGAGTATTTTAGTCTTGTGTAATTATTTTTTACTTATATTAGAGCTATTTAATAGTTTCCTTAATTCCTGTGTAAAAATCTTAAACAACATATAATTAGGAACGGATAGAGTATGTATGACTCACTGGTTAAAATCACATCAAAATAATTCTCAATTATTTAAAATAGTAATATTAGTCTGAGGAAAATTATAGCTCAAATGATGTGAAAGCTTCTCAATTACAACAAATACACGGGTCCAACAAAACCTGATTTGTCACCCAGGAAAAGGCTACGGTATCGAAAGTTACTATAATTTTAAGTTAAATTATAATTTTTTTAAGGTGTAAGTTATAATTTTTTTAAGGTTAAGTTACAACTCAAAAGAAAAAAATTACAAGTGCTCAGGGAAAGTCCATGATCGAACATGTATATCTGTGATCACTCATGAATTCTTGATCGATCACAAACTTTTTCTAAACAATTATAACTTCTCTCTTTTGAGTTGTTACTTTACCATAAAAATAATAATTTTTGGTTTAGTTCAGTACGGTACTGAAGGTTGTACCATATGATTACTTATGGTATATTTGGTAAGAACGATGAAAAATATGATAGATTGAACTTTTCATTCTCATAAGAAAAAAAATTGTTTCCCTTGTTCTTGTTTAGTAGGAAGGATAAAAAATGAGATAGATAAATTATTTATAATGAAAAATAAAATAAAAAATAAATGATATATTAAATATCATAAATGCCCTATTAAATGTGGACCCCACGTGTTTTTACTAGCAGCCACTTAGAGGGCAGTAAGGTAATTCAATAAATACAATTATTATGTCAACCTTCTCTCTCCACTTTTCTACCCAAATTTGAGCGGATTAAATTTGATGGGGCGAGGTATACCCTTTCCTTCCTCTTTTATTTCCTCTCTATTTTTCTTCTTTAACCAAATAAAAGAAAACATTACTTTCCCTCTTATTTTCCATCTACCGTTTTTTTTCATCAACCCATTTTTCTCCGTACCAAACACGCTATTAGATTTTAACTACAAATTTGATCAATCTTTCCGAAGAAGATTCCACATACATCTGGAAGACCCTAATACTAGTCTTTTCAAAGCCCACATGCTTCCTTTCAATGTGATGTCAAAGAAACATCTTCAACGTTCAGTCTTTAGTGCTGCCACCTGATCTGGGTGGCTCTGTTCTGTTTACTGTACTGTTTTCAACAGACTAGGCGGCCATAGATCAGCAATGGACCACATACAGCTTTGCTAATGGATTAGATTTTGATCGAATTTATATTTTTTTAAATTTGATTTCAATTTCGATTTAGATTTAAACGTTCTAATCCAAATTCGATTTCAATCTTTGACTATATTTTAACATCTCATTTAACTCTAGGGTCAATTATATTAGAGTTTCTAAAATACAGAGTTTGTCTCATTTTGATTTTAAATATTTTAATTGTATCATTTTAGTATATAAAATATTGAATATGTTTTTTATGTGATTCCTCGAGCTGATAATATCTAAATTACTAACGGTTTTTGAGCATAAATTTATAACGTGATATCTAAATATGATCAAAAATTAACCAAAATGTGTAATATGAATAACTCTTAACCAAAATTTAGATAGCTCGTGATTAAATCTATATAATTTGGATAACTCTTTGAACAAAATTTAACTAAAAATTTTATTGAATGTTATCCAAATTATTTTGTTGCCCATATTTAGGTTTTATATGACAAGTTTATAATAAAAAATTATTAGTAATCTAGATTAAAATGAAGCAATTACAATATCGGGGATCAAAGTGGGACAAATCATATATTTTGAAAATTTTCAGTACAATTAACCCTTAACTCTATTTTGGCATTCAAAAGTTTTTCACTTGACACTCAAAAATTGTATTTCCTTATAATTTTTCAAAATATAACTTTTCACTATTGTAGTGTTACCTTTAATTCTTATTCGAATTAAAATATGATCCATTAACGAGCATTGACACTCTTTTAGCTAGGGTTGGGGGTGTCAACCCAGGACCCATATCTAGAAACTTTTTAATTTGTTCAATTATAAACTAAAGGATTTGACTAATCCCATCTAGATACTTGATCAAAGCATTTGAATTATGTTCATAAATTCACTAATTACTTTTCAATTAGTTGAATTGACTATGTCAAATCAAGGCGGCCAAAATTCTAAAGAGTTTCAGTCCCACCTAAATTGCCCAAGTTATCAGTCAATTTGGGCAACCTAGTGAGTCAATTTANTTAATTTGATACACATAATTTATAAGTAATTATGCGCAACTTACATATTATTCCCTCCATTCCTAAATAACTGTTATTTTACATAATTTTTTTTTGTTCTATAATATCTGTCGTTTAATGAAATCAAAGTATAATTAATATTTTTTCTTCCAAATTTACCTTTAATTTTTTAATGCATTAGATTAAGTGGAGGTTAAGTGTATTTCATATTCTTTTTCTTTCCAATACGTATTGAATAAGAGTATTTTAGTCTTGTGTAATTATTTTTTACTTATATTAGAGCTATTTAATAGTTTCCTTAATTCCTGTGTAAAAATCTTAAACAACATATAATTAGGAACGGATAGAGTATGTATGACTCACTGGTTAAAATCACATCAAAATAATTCTCAATTATTTAAAATAGTAATATTAGTCTGAGGAAAATTATAGCTCAAATGATGTGAAAGCTTCTCAATTACAACAAATACACGGGTCCAACAAAACCTGATTTGTCACCCAGGAAAAGGCTACGGTATCGAAAGTTACTATAATTTTAAGTTAAATTATAATTTTTTTAAGGTGTAAGTTATAATTTTTTTAAGGTTAAGTTACAACTCAAAAGAAAAAAATTACAAGTGCTCAGGGAAAGTCCATGATCGAACATGTATATCTGTGATCACTCATGAATTCTTGATCGATCACAAACTTTTTCTAAACAATTATAACTTCTCTCTTTTGAGTTGTTACTTTACCATAAAAATAATAATTTTTGGTTTAGTTCAGTACGGTACTGAAGGCTGTACCATATGATTACTTATGGTATATTTGGTAAGAACAATGAAAAATATGATAGATTGAACTTTTCATTCTCATAAGAAAAAAAATTGTTTCCCTTGTTCTTGTTTAGTAGGAAGGATAAAAAGTGAGATAGATAAATTATTTATAATGAAAAATAAAATAAAAAATAAATGATATATTAAATATCATAAATGCCCTATTAAATGTGGACCCCACGTGTTTTTACTAGCAGCCACTTAGAGGGCAGTAAGGTAATTCAATAAATACAATTATTATGTCAACCTTCTCTCTCCACTTTTCTACCCAAATTTGAGCGGATTAAATTTGATGGGGCGAGGTATACCCTTTCCTTCCTCTTTTATTTCCTCTCTATTTTTCTTCTTTAACCAAATAAAAGAAAACATTACTTTCCCTCTTATTTTCCATCTACCGTTTTTTTTCATCAACCCATTTTTCTCCGTACCAAACACGCTATTAGATTTTAACTACAAATTTGATCAATCTTTCCGAAGAAGATTCCACATACATCTGGAAGACCCTAATACTAGTCTTTTCAAAGCCCACATGCTTCCTTTCAATGTGATGTCAAAGAAACATCTTCAACGTTCAGTCTTTAGTGCTGCCACCTGATCTGGGTGGCTCTGTTCTGTTTACTGTACTGTTTTCAACAGACTAGGCGGCCATAGATCAGCAATGGACCACGTACAGCTTTGCTAATGGATTAGATTTTGATCGAATTTATATTTTTTTAAATTTGATTTCAATTTCGATTTAGATTTAAACGTTCTAATCCAAATTCGATTTCAATCTTTGACTATATTTTAACATCTCATTTAACTCTAGGGTCAATTATATTAGAGTTTCTAAAATACAGAGTTTGTCTCATTTTGATTTTAAATATTTTAATTGTATCATTTTAGTATATAAAATATTGAATATGTTTTTTATGTGATTCCTCGAGCTGATAATATCTAAATTACTAACGGTTTTTGAGCATAAATTTATAACGTGATATCTAAATATGATCAAAANTAAGTATTAGAGGGAGGTGTGGGGACACAAAACTTAATTTTGTGTAAAAGGAAGGTGGGAGGAACCGGAGGAAATATGCAGATGTCTTTACTGGTTGATGCCTGGTGGGTATTGAGAATTGTCTGCCCCGTGATTTTGTTGATTCTACAAGAATGGACTTCCTAGGTGTACTATATATATATATATATACTTCAAAAAAAATAAGATATCGGTTGTGACTTAAAAGTCACGAGTTCAAGTCATAGAAATAACTTCTTTATTTGTAGGGATAAGATTGTGTATATTTAACCTTCCTCAGGCCACATAATGACGGAAGCCTTGTACACTGGATACTTTAAAAAAATAAGAATATTTTCATAATACCAAATGAGATTTACTTTCAATTAAACAACAATAATGAATCTAATCAATAAATTTGATCCAAAAAACATTATATGNACGCTAACTTGTCCCTCCAACCATAAGGTTTTTATATTTGCTATTTTTTATTTTGAAACTATAGCGGTAATAGAAGCAAAAATAAGTTTGTCCATCGTTAACAGTTTTGACAGGGTCGGATTATACTAGACTTGAGTTGTATCAAACTTGTGTCATGCACCATCCAGTGGCATTCATGTATAGATAAACTCGTGTCTTGTAGGGTCAAATTCATGTCCTATATTTTAGACTTACGTTTGTCATTTATTATACGAATGCAACTGATGAACTCAACTTTAATCGTATTTCGTTGCGACTAAATTTATACCTGATAACTTTGTGGTAGTTATCGAATCAACAAAGGATTGACAAATTTAATCTTTGAAACATTCATGGCACAAAAACAAGGTAATTTTTGTTCTCTTCAATATTTCTCTCAATCCTAATCTGTGTGCTACAACATAAACCCTTTCTATCTCAAACCTCCTATATACACATGGTAAAGGCACCCTCACAAACATTATAATGAAGAAAAATAATCAGAAAAATTAAACACAAATAACAACATTTCCCCTTGAGATTCATCTGCAAGTGCGCTATATATGAGTGTATAGCGTATGACCGAAATGAATGACAAAGACGGATTCATATAACCGATCCCAAATGATTGGGTCATAACGTTGGTTTGGTTTTTCATCTGCAAGTGCATAGCAGCCACGAAGGTTAATCAAATTCCATGCAAATATTTCAGAGCACCTTTATCAAACTCTCTTGGCAATCTGATTCCAAATCCTGTGAACTACCACAATGTTTATCCTCTGATTCAGATCTAGCAGTTCCACTTGAAATCTCATTAGAACTGCCACTAGAACTGGGTATATGATTGATCAGCAAGGTCTTTGAGCTCAAATTTGTATTAAATCCTTGTGTCGAGGCTGCAATTTGTGGAAAAAGTCTTTCTGTATGTGAGGCTAAATTTGCGTCTGTATGACCTTCTGTAGACCTTACAGTAGTAGCGGGAGACTCGTTCACCGGATTGCCATTTAGCGAGCTTGCAACTATTTCACCAGGGAAGTTCAGGAGTGCCTTGGCACCTCTCATTCTAAAAGCAGCTTTGTCATAAGCCATGGCAGCCTCTTCAGCCGTATCAAAAGTGCCAAGCCATAGACGCGCACCATGGCGGGTTGAGTCACGAATCTCAGCCGCGTATTTCCCCCATGGCCGACGCCTCACCCCTCTGTAGTGCTTCTGCCCTATGGCATGAACCGGTCGCAGGGCAGCGTTTCGCACAATCGTCGCTTGGTTTCTTGGAGGCAAGAAGGGGTTTATAATGGTGTTGGCCTCATTGAGGACTTCATATAGGACCATTTCTTGTGAATCATTTTCATTGAGGGGAAGGATAGTTTGGGATGTTGGAGCCATGGCTAGCTAGCTCTCCTTGATATGTTCTTCTTCTCTCTATGGGGTTATTAGGTTTTGGGAAGTCAGTGAGTTTATGGTTGTTTTGGGCATCTATTTAAGTTACTAAGTATTAGAGGGAGGTGTGGGGACACAAAACTTAATTTTGTGGAAAAGGAAGGTGGGAGGAACCGGAGGAAATTTGCAGATGTCTTTACTGGTTGATGCCTGGTGGGTATTGAGAATTGTCTGCCCCGTGATTTTGTTGATTCTACAAGAACGGACTTCCTAGGTGTACTATATATATATATATATACTTTAAAAAAAANCTTGAAATCTCATTAGAACTGCCACTAGAACTGGGTATATGATTGATCAGCAAGGTCTTTGAGCTCAAATTTGTATTAAATCCTTGTGTCGAGGCTGCAATTTGTGGAAAAAGTCTTTCTGTATGTGAGGCTAAATTTGCGTCTGTATGACCTTCTGTAGACCTTACAGTAGTAGCGGGAGACTCGTTCACCGGATTGCCATTTAGCGAGCTTGCAACTATTTCACCAGGGAAGTTCAGGAGTGCCTTGGCACCTCTCATTCTAAAAGCAGCTTTGTCATAAGCCATGGCAGCCTCTTCAGCCGTATCAAAAGTGCCAAGCCATAGACGCGCACCATGGCGGGTTGAGTCACGAATCTCAGCCGCGTATTTCCCCCATGGCCGACGCCTCACCCCTCTGTAGTGCTTCTGCCCTATGGCATGAACCGGTCGCAGGGCAGCGTTTCGCACAATCGTCGCTTGGTTTCTTGGAGGCAAGAAGGGGTTTATAATGGTGTTGGCCTCATTGAGGACTTCATATAGGACCATTTCTTGTGAATCATTTTCATTGAGGGGAAGGATAGTTTGGGATGTTGGAGCCATGGCTAGCTAGCTCTCCTTGATATGTTCTTCTTCTCTCTATGGGGTTATTAGGTTTTGGGAAGTCAGTGAGTTTATGGTTGTTTTGGGCATCTATTTAAGTTACTAAGTATTAGAGGGAGGTGTGGGGACACAAAACTTAATTTTGTGTAAAAGGAAGGTGGGAGGAACCGGAGGAAATATGCAGATGTCTTTACTGGTTGATGCCTGGTGGGTATTGAGAATTGTCTGCCCCGTGATTTTGTTGATTCTACAAGAATGGACTTCCTAGGTGTACTATATATATATATATATACTTCAAAAAAAATAAGATATCGGTTGTGACTTAAAAGTCACGAGTTCAAGTCATAGAAATAACTTCTTTATTTGTAGGGATAAGATTGTGTATATTTAACCTTCCTCAGGCCACATAATGACGGAAGCCTTGTACACTGGATACTTTAAAAAAATAAGAATATTTTCATAATACCAAATGAGATTTACTTTCAATTAAACAACAATAATGAATCTAATCAATAAATTTGATCCAAAAAACATTATATGCATATAGATATAATTAGTTTGATTCTCTTCATAGAAATACATGTAAAGAGTAAGTATCAATCTCCTCCGAAAAAAATAAAGTATATTAATATTTTACTATGCGTTATCGTTTCAATCATACATTTTTTGTTTATATATGCACATACAAGATTTTTTTTTTGAACAGTTGAAAAGGGGGGAGGGCCGACTAGCATATAGTAACTTCCTTATACGTGACTATGAGGGTCCCTCACTATAGAATGTTTTATTTGAACTAAAATTACTAATTCAGAAAGACAATTTGTCATCACTGTTTTACCAAAGTTAAATAACAAATCACGTTACTCTTGTTGATTGAATCTTGCTTAATAATTATATGAGAGTTAAAGACGACTTTAAACGAGTACGATTTATCACTAAACTACTAGCTCAAGGGGTCATCCAAATTGATATTAGACTTTAAAACAAAATCAAAACCTTAGATGGGCAAGGGGCAAATCTGCAATTTTTACACAAATTAATGGCAACATTATATGGTATGTCAATTTCCTCGTGGGGTTCATGTCGATGCATGATGACATCATTTATAGTGATCATACCACTAAAGACAGATGACAAATAGACCTATGTATCTATCTCTTGGAGGACTATGAGACACATGATTAGAATTCTTTTCACAAGTTTTTGTGACCTCATTGATGGGTCATGTTATTTCTTCTTGTGGTGGACTAGCTAACAAAATATCCATCATTTTCAAAACGAAAAATCAAAGAATTTGCTATCTTACCCGAAAAAATATAATCCAATAAGCTAAAAATTATATTTTCGGCATCACTAACCAATAATATCCCAAAATTTAGCATTAATTCTAAAAAATTTTGAGATTGACTTTTATTTTTCCTGGTCAATTTTAGTCGTAATTTGACATATTAGAATAATAACCTCGTTAAATTGAATTGTAAACTGTCGGTGTAGTATAAAAAAGTTTGGTATCGGTGATAGTAAGAACATATTTCTTTGATATTGACTTTTCTAATATACACAAGTATTGGTGCATGAATGGCAAGAAAAGTGAGAAAAAAGCCAAGAGAAAAAAGATACTCTAATTAGGTATGAAAGCATGAATTGAAGGGTCCATATTGAAGATTCCCAATTTGTGAGCACTCACTCGAAGTAGGTAAGATGATTCCACGTGGTTTGAACAAAGGTACACTATGAAGATATGTATGCAAAACACATGATAAAGCAAGGATGACCAAAGACTATGATAATGACAACAACAACAGGAAACAAAACGGATAAGGTTGATACCACTCTCTTTGCCTTTGGGATCTGCCAAGATTTGGGGTGGTTAATATTAACGATCAAAAGTTTATTTTAGTGTATTATTTTGATTATTTAGGAAATAAAAACAGAAATATTTCGACCCATTTAAAAAATATAATAAAATAAATAAATAATTTAAGAATTATTTTTTTAAAATATTGATCGAAATATTATGAAACACTTCAAAATATTAGAATTTCGATTCCATCACTAATTTGTTTGAATCTCTTTAAAAAGAGAAATGTTTCGAAACGAAATTTTAATCCTTAGTTAAGATTTTGAAACATTTTTCTTTTGGGCTTGTTTGTTTTGTTGGGGCGGTCAAAGGTACATGTTGAAGCGCATGGTGATATGTAGTGTTGTTTCTAGCGGTTTTAGTCGTCTCCCCTTCCACCTTTTTGTTATTAAAAAAGGAGGAAAAAAAATGTATGTGCTTGTTTAGTAGGAAAGAGGTGGAAAGTGGTGAAAAGAAAAAATTTCCAATGAATTTTTCTTGTAAACATGGGTTTGCTTTATAATAAGATATGGAGAACAATATCTCTTTCTTGTGAAAATGGGAAACTATGGATATGACTTTCCACTTTGTCCAATTTTTTTCTCCACCTTCATCATGTGGTTGTATTAGGAAAAGAAGGTTTTGTTATTAGGAAATAAAATATTAGGAAAGAAAATTTTTGTTATTTCGCTTTAGCGATAATTCTATTTCTTGGCAGACTAATAAGTAAGCTATCGTAACTCGTTCCTCTACTGAAGTAAATTATAGGGCCATTGTTGTCATTACATGTGAGCTAGTACACCTTCAAAAGCTTCTCCACAATCTTTGTGTCACTTACCCTCTTCTAATGACCATTTATTGTGATAATCAATTAAATTTCGTAGCGGTCTGATTTCTACTATGCACCTCCCTACTCGTGATCGGATTGCAAACCTTGTCACCAAACTTTTAGGTTGGAAACTATTTAACCCCTTTACCGCAAGTTGGGCATTACGGACTTTCATGCACCAACTTGAGATGAGTATTAGGAAAAGAAATTTTTGTTATTAGGAAACAAAATATTAGGGAAACAAATTTTTGTTTCCATCTACAGCTAGAACTTTCTTTTTATTTTTCCTTTATTGTACTATAAAGAGACATTCATGAGAATGATAGAATTAAGGAAAGTCATTATACAATTTTTAAGAGTTTGTTTAGCAAGAATGTAATGAAAAATCCTAAGAAAGTAAAATATGATCATTATCAACCAATTTTTCATGTCAATTGTGTGGGATTCTCTTACTATCACATGTGGTATGGGATTAATAGAGAAAATTTCTTGCCCAATCCGTATGAAAATAAATACATGTATTTCCTCTTTACTTTGGATATCAAAGAATTTCCATGGTACATGAGAGTCGTAAAACTTTTCCTTACTGGTAGGAAAATAAATTATTGTATTTTAATATGATCAGAAAATAAAACATAACTAAGACTATCGAAAAAACTCATCTCAGTCAACTGTTGTAACACAGTTGGTTAAGTGCTACAACAATACCTAGGGCATTCGGATTACGGAGTGCTCCAAGGTACAAAAACCAGATCTTAAAAAAAAAATAAAAAAAAAACTAATCCTTAGGGTCCTTGTAGGTTGAATATTTCTCTCTCATTGTCTCTTTCAATGATCTACATTCAGTTATAAACAAGGAAAAAAAAATTCAAAAAAAGGAGTTATAAGTAGAAATCGAAATTACTAGATAAGACAACATAGTCTTTACATAGAATGAACAGTCCAACACTACCTGTTTAAAACTAGAAGAAGATTCAAATAATTCTTTGGGTAAGCCACATAAAAACTAGTTCCGGTGTGAATGGTCTGTTTTTAATCGCATTTGTGACAGAATTAATCGAAGTGCGTATAAACTGACCTAGTCACTCCTAACCGTGGAACTAAAATAAAAAAAAAAACTTCGGTAAGCCAACATATTTCTTAAGGGAGATTGAAGGTCTAACTCTAGGTGGAAAATGAAAATAAAATTATTCAAAAATGTTTATAGGTAATGGCCAAGGGTCAACAAAAGGTAACTATCTATTCAAAAAACTTAAGTTGTTGGAGAGGGTGTAATTTAAGTATATGTACTTCAGAACGTCATCTCGTGTACAATTTAAATTTTGGGTTTAGTACGTAAAAATCTTTTAATAATTAGAGTAATGGTGAGATTTGAACAATCAGGATGTCTTGCTATGATATCACATTAAACAGACCATCTACTTTTAAAATATATATATATATATATATATATATATATAATTTATACAATAAAAAATCTCCGATTATAATCAATTTAAAGACATTGGGCCAATTTTATTATAGAACAGTTCAGGCCTATTTAGATCCCTCGATGGGAAGTCGTGGACCGAGTTTACGATTGACACGGGTGGTCCATTAACCTATCAACAGCCCACATGGGGCATGGACTAGGTCAGCTCGTTTTAGCTTAATGGAATGAATGGGCTTGTACTATTACCAAGATTTATGATTTGTAAAAGGCAGGCAAAACAAAACCAAAAAAAAGACACAGAATTAGTCTGTTATATGTTACCTTGAATGTGGTTGTTCTCAGGTTAGAAGTTAAGAGGTTGTTGAAAAATAGCTGAAAGATCACCTTTATCCCTTGTTTTCTGTCTCCATTGCAATCTCGATGTTTCGGGTGTGAGATATGGAGGTAAATTTGTGTACATCTCACTCTCTCTAGTCTGCACATTGCTCTGATAAATAGTTGTGCACAATTGATTCTCTCCAGACCCTACAGTGGTTGGAGTCTGGTTCACTTGACTGCTCTTTTTATGTCCTTCTTTAGTCTCCATAGTGGAGGAAGACTCGTGCATTTGGTCACTGTTTATATGTTCATGCTCATTGCTCTGATAAATAGTTGTGCACAACTGATTCTCTCCAGACCTTACTGTGGCTGGAGTCTGGTTCACTTGACTGCTCTTTTTATGTCCTTCTTTAGTCTCCATAGTGGCAGAAGATTCGTGCATTTGGTCACTGTTTATGTCTCCATACCCGTTGCTCTGATAAATAGTTGTGTACAACTGATCGTCTACAAACCTTATATTGGCTGGAGTCTGGTTCACTTGATCTCTCTTTTCATGTCCTTCTCCAATGGTCAGAGAGATCGGTTGGTGATTGACCATTGGAGGCAAGGACGGTCCCATGCGGGGCATGCCTCTACCGTGGGTTCCTCTTTCCTGTCCATAAGTATTATACATAGCTGCAACACCTCTTCCATAGCTTCCTGTAATATACATAGCTGCAACACTTCTTCCATGACTATCTCTCCCTTGCCCTTGTGGGAGAGCATTATGAGGAGCTGCAACACCATCTCTTCCTTGGTCTTCTCTGTGCTGTTGTCGTTGTACAGGACTTATCAAACTATTTACAGATGATTCTAATAAGTCTCCATTATTAGGAATAAAACTTAAATTATCTTCATCGAATTTAGTAAGGCTGCATACTTCTGCACCATTCATAATGTTGTCACCACTCTCAGGTAAATTTCCAAGCTGTGATAACATTGTTGACCCGTCCCAGACTCCATATTGACAGGAGTTTCGTGCAATGGTTTGTTCTCTATCTTCATCAATAGGCATCAGTTCTGCCCGTATTCGTGGTGGCTCCACCACAGTTTGCACCGCCTGCTGGATGGTTACTTGTTGCTTAAGCAACCTATTCTCTTCCTCTAACATCTTATACAGCCCATAAGGCCCATCAACAGGATCCTTCTCCCAACTTGTTGCCTCCCATAGAATCGACGCGACGGCCCGATCTTGTTCCGGGCCTACTTCATTGATCTTCCTTGTTACATTAGCAACACCAAAAATTTTTTGAACTGCGTTAAATTCATCGATTCGGTTTGCTGGGAAGTGTTGTGCCATTACACAATTTGCTGGGCACCTTTTTCTTTGATGTTTGCATGATGCACAAGAAGGGCGATTCCTCCTTGCCTCCTCAATGTTACTGCTCGACATTCTTATTCAAAACACAAGGAGAGCGAAGAATTAAGAGATACAAACTCGAAAATAACACAGACTCATTATACACAAACAAACAAACAAACAGGGTCAACTTTATCTAATTGTTAACAGTACTTACTTGACGATAGTAACTTTTTGTCAATACTATCGAGATTTGGGTTCTACCCAATTCACCCTTTCGATATGTGAGAGAGAGAGAGACAGAGCGAGAGAGATATGTATGTATGGATTTGAGAAGAGCAAAAAAAAGAAGAAGCTCGTGTTACTGTTTTATGAAATATGACATCAAGTCTATCACAAAAAGGAATATTCTTCTATAAGGTTTTGATCAAACGGACAGGGATGCACTTATTGCTTTTTAAGAATATAAGTGCCGTTTGGTTTAAGAATACCGAGTTTTCTGGTGATTGATCCACAGTAAATGCAGTGTTGATTAGGTGTTACTCTAGTTGTGTCCCGGCAGAAGTCTAATACCGTAAGTTCCAATCCGTAAAACAGTATAAACATTGGGATAGTTGCTAAAGTATCGGGTTTCACTAACTTATTTGTTAGTTTTTTACTGAACAGTGAAATTACACATGACTTAGTTTATTACTTATAGATAATAACGATGTAATGTAACCGTTATTGTAAATACTTTCTCGTCGTTAGAAAAAAAAATGAACTGCCCACAATGAATTGGATTTCAACCAATCCAAATTCAAACCCAAAAAAAAAAGAAAAAAAACTAATCCAAATTCAAATCCGATTTAAAAGACCAATCTAAATACAAGTTGGATATTCGATAGAATTTTATTTTCACAATCATATTTGAATTGTCCAAAAATCAAAATCCAATCCCGATTTGGATTTGGATTTTCGTTGTCCCCTCTCTATAAATATTATTAAAAAAAAAAGGTTTAATTATAAAATGTTTCCTTCAACTTTGAATAGTTTGTAATTTACTCTTTCAAGTTTTAATTTCAACAAAAAGTCTCTTTAAGTTTGAATATTTTGCATTAACCCCAATAGTTATTTCTTAGATAATAAAAATTGACAAAATTAGATATGTCAAATTCACGTAATTCTTACTTTGTTGAAAAAATATAATTACCCTTGCACTTATTTTTTCCTTTTTACCAAATATTCATACTTCCCCAACCAAACCCATAGCCGCTTATACTCAAAACCCTTTCATCCTCCCCGACTTCGAATATTATCTCTCATTCCCTTCCTCCCTTTCGATGGAAACTCTCCCTTTCCTCTGATGAGGTAGAAGCGAATGTGAAGGTGAATATGGTGTTGTGTAGTATGTTGGAGTTGGTCTGAAGAGCTATAATTTTTGTATTAGTTTTTTCATTTTCTTATTTTTTTAAGGACAAAATTGGGATCTCAATAAAAAAAATATGACAAATTAAGGAGGGTGAAATGGTTTTTTTTGGTGTTCAGCCATTGTTTGTTAGTCAATTTAATCAACTTGAAATTTAGAGGAGGCAAATTGCAGCATTTGAAACTACAAGAAACTAATTGCAACAAGGGGCATGGTTGAAGGGAACAAATTATAATTTACCCAAAAAAAACCATAACAAGCCATAATTAAAAGATTCAAATTTGAATTAAAATTCAATTAAGCTTATTGTGGGCTTATAAGAAAAATGAAGCCCACATTACTGAACCCAACTTCAGAACGACGAATGTAAATCGACTGATGACTAAAATCAATAAGCCCATCCTCTTGCAATCCTAAAAATCTGATGACCCTTTATGGTACGTCTTGAGCCCATCTATATCATGGTTCAAAGTATGTCAGATACCAATACGATTCAACCGAGCTATATTTAATTCAATACTTTTTTTTATTATTATTGATTCACGTTTCAGTATAAATTACGAGTATTATGCAACTCGGTCAAGTTATTTGAGAATGTCAAATGAGTTAAATGAGTTACCTCAGTTAGCATCGTCGAGTCGGTTGATACCATTCTACGATGACATGATATAACCTTGATTTTTCATCATATTCAACTTATTCTCCTATTTCGCAACACTGTCACCAATAAAAAATTTCTCTGAGTCGTCGGCAGGCACTGTGAGCTTGAACCATGCTATTGGGTAAGCTTACGTAAGCATTTTAAACAAATGTGTTCAACACCCATATTAATAATAATGACACCCGCACAAATGACTTTTAGGTCACCTCTTTTAGACTACATTGAGAAAAATTTTCATTTTGACACATCAAATTGGTTAGTTAATCAATTCTTCTTTCCATCATTCATTCCTCCCTTTTCTAACACTTAACCAACTAACACCAGCACCCACACCTACTTTGCCACAATCTCTTTGGCTCTAGGCCTTGCACTTAAAGAAAAAGAAAAAGTCTTGAAGACATCATTGTCTAGGTTGTTATGTGCCAACCTCCCCATCCAAATCCTCCTTAAGATTCAATCTTCTATTTCTCTCTTATATAGGAATTTGCAAAAAAAAAACACTATAAACACATATATATGAAGGAAGATCAACAGAAACTCTGCCTATATTATTTGGAAGTCTTAAACCTCAAGAGCTGATAAGGAGGAAGAACAAGGGGCAAAGAGAAATGACAACTGCAAGGTTTATCAAGTGTGTAACGGTGGGCGATGGCGCGGTAGGCAAGACCTGCATGCTCATATCATACACTAGTAACACTTTTCCGACGGTATTTCTTTAATTCTTGGTGATAATTAAACAATATCATGATTTTATTTTTTTTATTTTTTTTGGGTTTTGATCTAACATTAGTTTCGTCTTTGATAGGATTATGTTCCAACTGTGTTTGACAACTTCAGTGCTAATGTAGTGGTTGATGGCAGTACAGTGAACCTTGGCCTTTGGGATACTGCAGGTAAATTTTTATCTCATAAGATTAAAAGAGTACCCAAGCTCAATTCATTAGGCTCCTGTCACTTAGGCCCGGGGGAGAGTCAAACGCATAGCAGCCTTATCGTACTACATACACAAAGAAATGTTTTACCTTATAAGACTTCTGTGATCAATTAATTCTGCTTATACCATCCTTGTGTAGAGAAAGGATTTGTTAACTGGCCAACGTCTGGTAGATTGACATGTAATTTTCATACACCGGATCCCATTAGAACTCCGCAGTTAAGCGTGTTTGGGCGATAGTAGTACTAGAATGGGTGGCCTCCTTGGGAAATCCTTGTGTTGCACCTCTTTTTGACATGTAATTTTAAGAATGAGAACAGAGTTGGTATATTTTGTTGAATCTATGCAATGCAGGACAGGAAGATTACAACAGACTCAGGCCTCTAAGTTACAGAGGAGCTGATGTGTTTCTGTTGGCTTTCTCTCTCATCAGCAAGGCCAGCTATGAAAATATCTACAAAAAGGTTTTTTCTTCTACTGCCCACATCTGTTGTTTATTTTATTTTTTCTATTTATCTTCCATCTGCCAGAAATTTATTAAGAAAATCTTTGTTTTGAGTTGCAGTGGATCCCTGAGCTGAGACACTATGCTCCAACCATACCAATTGTCCTGGTGGGAACCAAACTTGGTAAGATCAATTGATCTTTGAGTCATTACAATACTATTAAGCCAACCAGACCATTTTAGGATTCAAAATCAATTGTTGTCATACAAAATCCAACGTTCGGTGGATTAACTGCCAATACAGAAATAATCTGGGAAATTCTGAGGATGAAGTTAAAGGCCACATGAAGACCCCCTCCTCTCTCCCGGGGAGGCACGAGAACAAAAAAAACCATTGTGTTCTGCAAAGTATATGAACACCCTATCTGCTATAGGGGTGATACATGCAGATAATGAGAGAACTGCAGAAATAAAGGAACATTGTTAGTTAATAACTTGAGTAATATGCTTAATTTTTCAAATCGAAAATTTTATAGCACTGCTCCTACCATATGATAGCTTGTTATTTGAGGGCATACTAACTCTGTTTTCAGTGCTACCTAAACTTTCTATATCGAAAATTTTGTAGCACTGATCCTACCATCTGATAGTTTGTTATTTGAGGGCATACTAACTTTGTTTTCAGTGCTACCTAAACTTTCTATCCAGAACTTTTTTGTTGTAATCCTTATGAAAATCCGATATAATTTTCTCCTTTTGTGACAATATACAGATTTACGTGAAGATAAGCAGTACTTAAGTGATCATCCTGGTGCAACATCAATAACCACAGCCCAGGTAACGCGATTATAGAAAATTACGTTGGGTAAAGTACATTTGGGAGAAATTTAATTAAAAAAAATTGTCAAGCTTCAAATAATGTTTAAGTTCAATGACAAAATTTTGTTTACAGGGAGAGGAATTGAAGAAACTGATTGGGGCCGTTGCTTACATTGAATGCAGTTCCAAAACTCAGCAGGTACTAAGTTTTTTTTTTTTTCTTCTTCCTATTGCCTAATTTCCCTTATCTGTAACATCTCATAATTCTGTCAAATGTGAAATCAGAAATGTACAAATGCTTTGATACTTGACTATGCCTTTTACACTGCAATTGGAGTCTGGATCTTTTGTTGTGTGAAGTGTTGTTCCTCAAAATGACGTCATTTCACACAAAAATTGATGGCGTTCTATTTAATAAAATGATGTCATTTTAGTGTAAAAAAGCGTCATTTCGAGGAACAGCACCCCTACTGTTCCTCAACTAACAGCAAAGGATCCAGATCCATGTAATTGATGCTTTATTAGCTGTTATGGTGTCGTTTGATCAACATGAAGATTTCTGAACCATAGTTTATAGGATGTAGGATTGAAGGCAGGTCATGGCAGCACATTAGTACCGTTGTTGTATGTGAGTTAGGCACGATGGTTTTGAGTTACGAAAATAATTTCTCCACCAACTGAGATAAAAGATGTGTACATTTGACCCGCTCAAATCCAACAATAGAAAGAATCTCGTACATTGTGCTAATTCATTCTTCATAATAACCTTAATTTTTTCTGTAAATTTTCATCTTCTGATTGTGTTAAACTGAGTACTGTTTGATTTATCATACTGCTTTGTGACATTTCAGAATGTGAAGGCAGTGTTTGATACAGCAATAAAGGTTGCTTTGCGCCCACCAAAACTGAAGAAAAAACCACACAAACCAAGGGCGGCATGCACATTCCTCTGAATTGAAAGTTCATTGTTATTTTAAATCTTTTTATTCCTCAAAGTGTATTTCCCCTTTTGGAGCTTATAAGATCTTATTATATGAAAGACACTATATGTGTCTTGAGTTACTATGCTTTTGTTTTACTATTTAGCATATGCTGGGGCAGAACCCTTGGGATAGGGTGGGCACATGCCCCACACCCCCCCCCCCCCCCCATTTTTTTTTTTTTATTTTTTAAAAAAAAAAAAAAAAAGGATATT